CTTGAGACTAGCAAAGAAAAAAAGTGGCATTTGTATGTGGCTTGCACAGCATTCAGCCTTGGTAACCTTCAGAAAAGTTCCATGAAGTCTTAATAGATAATTGCACACAGCTTAAAGGTGGGGAGAAGCTGGTGGTGCTCGGAGATGGGCTGCAGGGTGTGTGACCTGGGCGTGGCACAGCCAGGCTTTGGGAGTTCTGGCTGGGATCAGTAATACAGGATCTCAGAGCCCATGCAGCCAAAAGATTGTGCACACCTCCGAGATCCTGGGACAGCTTGGCCATTGTGTTTATCCCACTCTGGTTGGAGTAGCACCTGAACAGCCATAAAGCAGGACTTAGCACTTCAGGGGGAGTAGCTGGAAGTTAACACGAGTAAACTCTGTGCAAGATGAGCTTTAAGGCATTATAACTTAATAGAAATGCTTCCTTAGGACTGGCAGTGAACGTGCTGTGCCTGCTGTGTTCCCTGCAGGGCCCCCTGACAGTGTTCTCAGCCAAGCAGAGGTGGACGGCCCCACGCACCATTCGCATCCCCCAGGGAGCAGGAGAGCTCGGATTCCACCTCAAAGGGGGGTCACCAGTCCAGATTTATTGTCTGGATCCAGTTTGTCCTGCAGCAGTAAGTACCCTGGGGCAATATTAACAGTTTCTGTGCAGACCTTAAATGTAACTTTAGCTTGTTCATACTGCTGTGTGGAGTATTTATTGAGTTCTATACACTAGAATAGTCAATTCATGTCATCTCAACACATTTTCAGTGCTATATGCACTGTAGATTAAGTTTGGGTATCCCTGACATCACATAAAACTAGAGTTGATTTCTTCCTCTGTTCACTCTTAGTAGTTAAAAAGTCACAAATAATAAAAGCAAATGTTACTCCCTGTTTAATTCAGGAAGTTGAAGGGATAAATGCTTTAAAAAATAGCAACAAGAATAAGGATCAGGAAGGGAAGGCAAGGTAGCATGTGCCCAAAGAAAGAGAGGAAAGAACATTTTATTGGCTTGTAACCTGTTGTTCTGTCAGGGGAAAATCCAAAGGGATAAAGCAGCATGCAGTGATGAGCACAGTTTAGCTCTAGAAAAGGCAGAAGCAACCACAGAAGGTCAAATGAAAATAATGAAGAAGTAAACAGGGCAGAAAATATCTCATGGGCAGTGATAGGGTAGCAACAACCAGTGTTCATTTCCTTAAGGGGAAAAGCAAAAAGGATGTAAAAAGAGCCAACATTTGAGTATACCAGAATCACATTTATCGATGCTAACTCAATAGGTAGTTTGTGCACTTGGAAAAGTTGCACATGTCTGGCTAGACAATGGGTTTGTAGCATCTAAGAGGGCAATGCCTTTAGGGCAGGTACTATATGATGACAAAAATGTTTTATGCATCTCAAAATTCAAGACAATAACCTGTGCACAATGTTTTGGCAGTCGATGGGCCTGAAAGAAGGTGACTACATTGTTTCAGTCGGTGGCGTGGATTGCAAGTGGCTCGGAGTGAACGAGGTGCTGGAAAAACTGAGGAGTGTGGGAGAGCAGGCCCTGGAGATTAAGGTTATCAGTTGCCAGGATACAGCAGCATCTTTGGTATGTCATGAGGCAAATATGTTCTGCAGACTGGAGATGTGAGAGTTTTTTTTTACTTGCCTGCCTTCAGTCCCTGATTAATGTTTATTTTCATGTAGTCAGATATCCCACTCTGCTAGGGAATATTTAAAGCCTTCAGGCAAGTGTTCAGTTTTAAACAATCTGTTTAAATCATTGTGCCTTGGCAAGGCAAAGGTAGTCTGTGTGCATAAGAATGGTTGGGTGGTGGGGTTTTTTGTAGTGAGGCTACTCGAGATTAATTGCATTACAAATTTCAAGGCATAGTTTAGTTCCTCCAGCTTGTCCTGGAGGATGAAAGTATTACCTTGTTCAGCACTGGAAAAACCACAAGGAAACAATTATGGATGAAACAGAACATCCAAGACCACATGTTTGTTTTCTATGCACTGTTAACATAAAGGATCTGTGAGTTGTGTATTAGATCATGGACTAATGTATATATTTTTTATTTTGGAGTACTTTAACTGTCTAGTCAGTTACTAAACTGCTGTAGAAGCTTTAGACTGAGGGAAGGTCATCACAAGATTTAAAAATGTTAAGCTCTAAATAACTTAGTTGATGTGTGAAAGAACCTGTAGTTCAGCTAAATCCACTACTTCATGCTCCTGACATTCCCTGGCAAACCCAGGCATTGAAGTAGTGTTGCCTTAGAAGCCCTCAAGGTGCCCTTACTGCTGTTAGGTTTTCTTACTTTAAGAAGTTGATTTTCCTTATTGAAAATAAGGAATTACACACCTGCCATTCCAAGCTGCAAACTGGAAACAAAAGGCTGGGATATAATCAGATTGCTCCAGGGCACAGCTAAGATAAGACACAGAAGGCTGTGCCTTTCAGGTTTCCCAAAAGAATGTCCTACAGCAGCTCTTGTTGTCCTAGTTGGGATCACCACGGAACCTGTCCAGAGACAGCAAAATATTCCCCTTCAGATTTGTGCAAGAACTACATACTTCAGCTTGGTAGAGAGGCCAGGGTATATATGATATAGTTACCCTAGAAGCAATAAATGCTTAATGACCCATGGAAAGATTCCCAAGTTCCTTTCTGCTGTGCAGAGGATCCCCTTGGGTGTCCGTGTGCCAAACCCCGGGGGCACAGCACTGCCAAGGGCTCAGTCATGTCATTAGCCCAGAAAGCTGCCCTGCAAAGCTGCCTGCACAGTAACCTTTTGTTACTGGCAAATTCTGACCCACTTTGGTTCTTACAATGCTTCTCTTTTTCCTACAGCATAGCAAGAGTGCAACTTACTCTGTGGGAATGCAGAAGACCTACTCTTTAATCTGCTTAGCCATGGACGAGGATAAAATCGATCAGACCAAGAAAGCCCCGCTGAAACTCCCTTTTCTAAGCTGGGGAACTAAAAACAGACAGAAAGCTGCAAGCACCCTCTGCCTGCCTTCAGCTGTGGCTGGAAGTTCTCAGACTAAGAAGAAGCTTTTACCCTTCACTCTTCTGAACACGGAAAGTTCATTGTACTGAATCTTCCAGAAGGATCTGTTAACGTGATGCTTCTGTTTAAAATGTATATAGAAATCAATTTTATCTTTATAAAAATCAATTTTATCTTCATATATGTGTGTATAAACCCAGACAAATACCGTTGGACTTCATTTGCCTGTGCATTGAGACACTGATGAAGGTCAGAGCCTGGCAAAGACTGTAAAACTGAAGTATTTGAAGGTCAGAATGAAGTGGTTTGGGAGGTATGCAATAACAAGATGTAGAGGATAAGTTGCTTACACGAGGACTGGATTCCTTTGGAATTTCAAAATACAGTTTATCATGACTAATTTTTTATGACTAGGCTAGATGGGAGTTATTTATTACAAACTTGATGCTGCATGCAAAACAATAGGGGACACTTTAAAGGATGATTTTGCTCTTAAAGTCTTAGAGTCAATAATAAGTCGCTTAACACTACTTTAATCTTAAACCACAAATGAGAGAGAATGATGTTATTCAGAGAAACTAACCTTGTGCCAAGGGGTGGTGTCATAGCATTGTGGTTTTTATGCAGACACTTGGTGTGTTCTGCTGAATAGGTAATTTAATTCTGGAAGAGAATTAGAAGGCTTAAAATTTAAAATACCTTCTGAACTCCAAAAGGCTTGTACTCCGCTCTTTTTCTGGGTTACATTTTAAATGCCTGCTGATGCAATTGTTAAAAACAGGCTTTATTCCAAATGACATTATTTAACCTACTTACCTTGAGACTTGTATCTTATTAGTCTTGATAAAATGACTTAGCTGTGAAACAAATCTCAAAATGGACATATTATAGTATATTAATCAAGAATATATAAATTGCAGTGATGAGGAAAAGAGTGCTTGTGCAAGTGGCAGAATATTTATTTACTGTCATATCAAATCCTTCTGCCCCTGGAAAAATTCATGAGCAGCTATACATATATAGTAAGGAGGGAGACAAAAACAACTGGTGAGCATTTCTTTGAGATTCTTCTGTTTTCTAAATTAACTGAAAATTGCTAACACTGTAGTGTTAGTTACCATTGCCATCTACAGAGTAGATATATGCTGTTTGATACTCAAAACTTAAATGAGAGTTTGCATCTTGGTGTAAACTTGAAAGCTGTCATTTATTTTTAGTTTCTTATGTAGTAGGTGTAAATATCTTGATGACATTTATTTAAGAATAAAAATCAGATGCTGTCACTTAGTAGTAGCTTTTTTGAATGATATAGCATAATTTACAGGTTTTTGCTCTTTACTGTTGCTGTGCCTCGTGTTTCTGTGATGTTGCTTACAAATATCTAAAAAACTTTCTTAAAAGTTTATATTAGACAGTACAGGAATTTAAGAGTTTAAAAGTGGCTTCCTTATAAAGAGTATAAATATATTTCTAGAGTTTCCCTATAAAGGCTACATAAAAAACTTAATACTCTTTCCCATGTATTTGTAGTTGGGCTGCTTTTACACACTCAAGCACCAGTGGGCAGATACTGATATTCCATACACAAGAGATTCACTTTGCCTGTGGGGCTGAAATGGCTCTCCAAGTAACAAAATCTTTAGCAAAGTCACGTGAATGCCCCTTCCAGCTCTTTGTTTCTCTCAACCCACTGTTCCAGTCCTCTTGCAGATATTTTCCCTCTTAGCTGCATCATTAACTGCCTTCTTCCTCCCATCATCACAGTCCTTGGGGAAAGGTTGGGCCGAGGGTCTTTTTAAATTTAAAACACTCCTCAATTCAAGTCAAAACTTCTCTGTTTTCTGTCAGCTAACTAAAGACTCATTCTACACTGAGTGGTAGCCAACTTGCAGGGAAATTAGTGTGTGCCTTGTGTTCTTGCTCAGAGCAGAGGAATATTTGTAACAATTAGTTAGCCCCCTCCAGTAGTTGCCAGCCATGATTATAAAAACCACCATAATACGTGATTATTAAAACCAAAATTTTATTATTCACAAGAAAAAAAACCCATACAAAAAGTCTGTCTTTGCAAAACAGCGTGTCAGGAACAGAGGAAGGTATGAATTTGTTGTGCTGCTGTTTGCCCAACTACTTGCTCCAGCTCGCTGACGGACGCGTTACAAAGCCGGTGGATGCTCCCGAAGTGCTGCAGGAGAAGCAGAGCTTTTGTTTTCCCGACTCCCGGGATGTGCTGCGCGGTCTGGAACAGCGCTGGCTCTGCCAGCTGAGGTCGCTGCTTGCGCAGGAAGGGGTTGGTGCCCTGATCCCGGCTCTGCTCCCGCACCTGCAGCCAAGCACAGCCGTGAGCCAACCGAGCAGGAGCTCTGCTCTCAGCCTTTAAAGTTGGTTCTTTCATGGCAAAGCAGGGCAGGGCAATCACCGGGAAGTTTTAGAAACGAGCTCCCTGCTTCTGTGTGTGCCCTGATTTTGATGCAGTTCCACAAAGTCTCACTAGGGAACGGTTTCTTAATGAAAACAATGATTTTTGTCATCTTTTTGA